GTGCTCCAACGCACACACGCACATTGTTTTGATATATATGATCTTTGACGTTAGGAACACACCTACATTGCTTAGACAACAGTGAGTGCTTGTAATTTAATATGAACTTTATACCATAGCAATAAAGCTCAAATTGACTACGTTTTAGTTACAAATCATTTGTATGGGAAAAAGAAAAGGGCTATTTTTAGGGTTTTTCCAGCAATAATTCTAATTTTTCTCGCCGTAAAAACCATCCTTGAACTTCAACGAACATTTTAAAAAAAGATTTGGCCAAATTGGTCGAGGCGTTGTTGAGTTATGCGCTTACCAACACATTTTGCGATTCATTTTTATATATAAGATAAGGACGAAACTGGCCGAAGCTTACCTATATAAACTTCTTGGGTTAAAATGAATTTTACTGGTTCTGTGCTCAAATCATATCAAGATATTCTTCATTAAAAAACTTATGAAAGCGCTTTTAGATTGTCAATTATTTTTTACTTATTTTGTCTGCGAAGATAGATACATAAAAACAATTGTTTACATCACAAACACAAATACATGTAAAGACTTTAATTAATGAAATAAAAATATTCACTCAAATCACACCATAAGCACTTTATCATATATGTAAAAATTTTTCGACTGTAAAATATACATAGACGTGTCAGGTAAGGAAGTCAGGAAATGTTTTTATTTTTAGACAGTGCTCTCGCGCTGTTCTTTTAAATATTAACCTATTGGGAGCATTTCGTACGTTCAGTAACAGAAAAAGATTTGGAACCGAACATAGAATGATGAGCTGGAGTCTGGAGTACCAGATCAGCTTTTTCCTGGATGCGTACACTGAGACGGCAGCGTCTTTTTCTTACTAAGCTTAAAGTTTATCTATAATAATAAAAATTTATCTATACCTTAAACATAAACTGAACATTAATCGTATTGAAAATTAATTTGAAATGATAATAATGATCAGATGATTAACTTTTTAAATTTAATGGGATCTTATGCTTAACTTTTTGTTGCTCTATTAGTGATGTATCTGCCCAAAAACTGAAACGCTGTAACATATTCATAACTTTGTGTTAAAATAGAGCAAAATTACGTTTTAACGCGATTACGTAAAAGTATACGCTAGTAAAATGAAACTGAACTTCAAATAGCAGATGCCGTTTATCAATAAATCACAAATTGTCAACACAATAAACACAATCTTACAAATTAGCAACTTTCTCACGATCTTTTGATACTATTGCCCCATATTCACTTACTGAGAACGGTTTTAAAGAGATTCGGAAGTCCGTTTTACGGCACAGCGTGATATTTCGACGTCTTGAACAAAAACTCTCAATTTATTTTAAATTGTTTTTCACCCTTAGCGGGTGGTAATACGGTTCGTTTTCCCTTGACTTTAACCATAGCGTGATTGATAAATATTGATGCTGTCAGTTAACTTTAGTCATTTAATTATGGGCGTTAAGGATATAATTGGTATAATAGGATGTTGTCATTACGCTCAGCGTGAAGTGTCGCAAAATTACTTCACTACGATGTTTTGAATGGAATTTATAGGAACAGTAATGTAGATAATGTAAAATAATATACTTAAAGATGGTTCCGGTTTTAAATTAATTTAAGTACTAAACAAATACATATTACCCTAACTTAAATTGAAAAAATGTTAAAAATACTAGAACTAATATAAATAATAAAAATATTTGCCGAGAATAGAATCCGAGATGATGAAACTAGCCAACCAGTCGTTTATAATGTACACACGGCCGCAAGTAACCCTACACACCTCCACCGTAAGCTGAACTCTGTAGAGAAGTTCTATACGAAGTGCAGTCAGTACAAGTCCACAATGTATGACGTGCAGCCGTGTGTTGCTTTTCGATTTCATCCGCGTAAATTATAGCCTAACCTAAAGTCAAACAATGACGTCTTTTCTCTATTTTATTATTAATAGATGACATAATTGAATCTTTCGTAACTTAATTTTGCGGTACAAATGCTTGAAGTCGATTATGAATTTGCTATTGCATAGGTATTCCATATAAAAAATCCATGGGCATTATTTTTCAACAAAAATATTATACTTAATTAGATCCAATACTAAAACATCATACTACCTAATGAATTATGAGCTTTTATTGATCCGTTTTATAGATCTAAGTAACGCCCCAAACATTTTACAACTTTAATACATAGGTACTTTACAATAAAACAAATTAAAATCAGTTTCTATGACACTTCAAATATAAAACGCTACTTCATAACGATTCATCATTCTGTCAATTTTATCAATGAAATAAAAAAAAATATCTTGTGCAAAATACTGAATGACGGTCACTTCCGTGGATCCGTCCTAACGTCAGCTATTTAATCTATGGTACGGACAATGGAACAGGAAATGAACTATTAACGATCAACAAAATATTTTGACTTTTGGCTTCTTTCGTAAAGAAACACTTGTGATTTGTAAGGGATAACAAGAACCCATTAAGATGTGAATGCATAATGAAATAATAGATCAATTCTATAGAGTCGCCAAAAGTATCTAATAAGTATTTAGACTGCATATAAAGCAAACAGAAAACAAGACGAGAGAAAAAAGCAATATGAAAACAATTGGTGAATGAATAAAACAAATAAAGTGAAAAAAAACAAACTAGATCATTATCATATCAAAGTAAACCTTCTTATTACGAAGACAATTTGAGTACGTATAGTTGGATTTTAATGATAATTATGTTTTTTTTTGTCTCTATCGGACAAAAATAAATTAAGACTTTTATATTTCTTTTTGTTTTGCGGTGTCGCCACTTTTGTAGTAGCAGGATATTAATAAGACTTTTTTAACCGTAGAAGCCTATTCGAGAGTAACACAAAACGTCATTTTTTTTTCAGAGGCGGACATAGGAAATTACAATCTGTAGGCAAAATAGGAATGATACTAAATAAATAAAGTGAGATAAAATACAGTTTAATCGAGTGAAACAGCAGTCATAGTGGTATGTTAAATCATTATCACCCCTTTTACGTCCCCTCTACTAGGGGCTCAGACCTTTCTTATAGATGCTTAAGGAGGATGGGCCAAGCTAGCCCAATGCGGAGTAGCTCAAGATAATATTTTTTTGTCACCCATCCCGTGACCGACCTTTGTGAAAGTTGCTTAACAAGAACTATCGTGAGCCCCGGGGCTTATCCACTACGCCAACGAGCTACTCAAGGCATTTACAATAAAATACTTAAAAATCACCTCTTCAGAAAAACAATATATTTTGTATTTATTTCTTATCACTTACTTCATTCAGCTCAATTATTGTAACTTAAAAAATATTTAATGATTAATTACCATTTATTTGGATAAAAAATATAATAAAAGATTGATAGCTAAACATACTTCTCACAGGCGCAGATACCTACATAAATCAATAATGGCTGGACTTATTTTAATGATGAGAGACTATCGGCAAGCTCTAAGCTTTTTTAACGGCACGATCAGTTTATTTAGCATAATTATTTATTATCATATAGATATAATAATAGGATTGGATAAAAACTTTATTCAAATTGTTTTTCAATATTAAAATAATTTATACAATGAAGTTTAAATTAATAGGTTTTTAAACTTTCATTTTTTTTACAAGGTTGCATCAGCGACTTTGATCGTGTAAATTGGACGTAGTTATGCAAACCGGAAACAAACCACAAATCTATCATAATCGAGTTTTATATGTAAAGACGCCTAAAAATGAACTTTCTATAGGGTCTATGAAGATGATGTAAAAACTTTTAGATACAGAAATAGCTAAAAATACACTAGCCCAAAAGATATCAATTCAAAAAAGAACCATTTTGCAAAAGATGTCTGTCATTTCATTATTATTTTTGACTATGTTTCAAAAACATATTCTTTCCGTTTGTTACCACGTTATTATAAAGTAAATGTTATTTTATCGTATTTTTTTTTATACCTCAATATTCACATATAAATAGACCTTTTCCTAAATTCATACAAAAAATTAACACACCGAAAGTTGTTAAATTATTATAACAATATTTTGGGGTTTATTCATAAATATTTTAATAATTTATTTCTTGCATTTTAGATAGATAGATAGATAAAAAGTTTATTTCTCAGCAACACACAATTACATCACACAAAAGAAACAAAGAGGAACAAGAAACAGAAATATACCTGTGTGCAGCAGTATGCTACCTATTATTTTATGCTACCTATACTTTATATTTTCAGATGACGTCATGGGGGTGTTATTTAGATAAGATTTCAGGGAATGCCCTGATTATCCAAGAAGGTTTTATAAGAAAAAATATTATATTGAAATTCGTATATGTAAAAATTTCTTAATAAATAAATAAAAGAAAATACAATTTACAATACTGCAATAAAATTTAACGAAAAACAAGAAACACTTTTTTTCTTTACAACATTTTAACAAAAACCCATTTTACTCAAAACTATCATCATCATGTGGGTTGGATCTCGTTTGCATAAATAACTTCGTCCAATTATATGCATGAGTCTAGGTCAACCGTGTATGATATTGCTTTTCGTAGGTGATTTTTTTTTATTGGTCATGTAGTTTTTTAGAGAAACAAACAATCTAATCTTTCCTCTATATGATATTAGTATAGATGACATATTTTTTATAATAACTTTTTTTATGTTTAAATTAAAAGAAAAATTTTGAAAGTCTAGTTTTCCCAAAAATATTTCTTAATAAGTTAGTCAGTAGTTAGTATTTTGAAAATCTGAAAATTTTATAATTAACTGAAATCTCTTTTTAGTAAGTTATATTTATACGTTTATTTAACACTAGTTATTTTCCCGCAACTTCACCTGCATGAATTATAGCCTATGGCACCCGTAATATAGCTTCCGGTTGGTGAAATTATGTTCATGCCGGATCAGTATTTTTATTTGTATTAAAACTTATTCCTTTAGAATTTTATTTAACATCAACTTAATAACGTGAAAATGGATGAACAAATCGTATATTTTAAAATTGAAACATATTAAGTGTGCAATACGGGATGAAATGAATTTTTTTCAATAGCATTCACAGATACAAAATTTATCAAAATAATATTGGTAACTTGTTGTTAAGCTAAAAAAAGGTCAAGTATTACTATCCACAATTTATGTCAACAAAGTTTTCATAAAAAGGTAAAAAGTCAAAATAATAAACATGAGGTCAGATTCACATTCTTTTTATTTTTTATTTGACAATTATCTCGTAGAAAAATACATTTATTTCCAGTTTCACACCAAACTTCCTTAAAATATTTATATTAATTTACAAACATTAAATATCTACAATTTTAACGAGAAATATTTCTTTATTTTTTTAAACTACAATTTTATCTACAATAATATAATAATTACACTTAATGCTTTTTTGTAAAAGGCTTGCAAAATTTTAAAACTAAAAGTATTACAAATAGCACAGGTCAGTACCCGTACAAGTATGGAAAGGCATGAGGCACAGCAGAGAGAGGCACGAAAACAGGCATCATCCTCTCAGCTTGCATGTAATGTGTTCTCGTGTGTTTTTTCAAGTGATCTCTCCTTCCAAATTTCTTGCCACACGTGGGGCAAGGAAACGGTCGGACACCAGAATGTATCCTTTTATGCCTCGTTAATTCTTCATTCCTTGTGAAAGTCTTACCGCAATTTTTCTCATCGCACTTAAAAGGTCGCTCTCCTGTATGGATTCTAATGTGCCCTTTCAGTTGGCCGTTATTTGAGAAGCCTACATGACAATGAGGACACTTGTATTTCTTCGGACGCTGCTTTCTAGCGTTAAGTAATTTCGCGTCATTCTCTTGCTGTAATATTCTTGCATACTCTAATTCCATCGCATAACCTTGCGCTAATGATTCTAACAGCAATGGATCTGTCGGTGGCACTCCTAACGCTTGTGCTATATCCGTTGCAGGGAGATAATCAGAAATGAAAGTTGGGTTATACATATTGGGTTGGGTCTGCAGCATTAAATTTTGAGTTATATCAAGTGAGTTGATCTGTTTCTCCTTGATTACATCCTTATTTGGTTCCTGAAGCAGTCTGTCGCAACATAAGCTTAAACTAGCTACAGGCGATTCGGAATTTTCGCTTTTTTTAACACTCAAACACAGTTTCTTATCTTCTTCGGCATCAGCGGTGGTAGTTGACACGGTAGCGTCCTGATGGACGTTCGCTTCCGGCTTTCTGAAAGTACCGCGAATTTTCCGCAGCCGACTTTCTCGTCTCTGGTCTACTTTGATTTGTTTTATGTTTACGTCATCTAAATTAGTTTTTTCACAGTTTAAATTGGTCTGTTCCAAGTTTTTGCTATCACTGACGTCCCACGGCCTGAAAAGCCTAGAGTAGGTCTGCTGTACGGACAACATCTCACAATGTGTAGTTCACTCGCGTTCCAAGTCACTGACTGGGACCCTTTTTCATTTCAACAACTTTTATATACATTTCTTTAACAATAAATTTATTAAACGCATTCTGCGAGTAGAGGGATAGCCGTTGCCATTCAAGGGATGAAAGAGATGCAATATTTATCAATTGTTGCTCACTTGGAGGGTCGTATAGTGTTAGACTTATCTCCATAACTCTGATAATGATATTTTGTGCCTTATTGTAAGTCAGCAAGGATTTTTTCTTGATCGTTTTTGAATGGTTCTTATTCATTTCAACGTTTAAAGTTGTCATAGTGTTTGAGATAGGGGTGTGTATTGTTATTTATGTTGATTTTTGTGCGCGCCCGGGAGGCGGGGCTGGGGCAGTGGTTTCCACTCGAGTGGTTGCTTGCAGCTGGTTTGTTCTAATGGCTCGTGATTGTTGCGGTCTCTTATTTATGTTACATACTCACGTATACATGACGGTATGGTTAACGGTTTATGGGAGAATAGACAATCTCTCGTCGCAGCGGGATGTTATTAATTTTATGTTTCGCCATTTGGCGTTTATAAAATTGAAATTTATTCATATTATATATTGTAGAAATGTAGTCTGTTAACAAGTATGTTCAAGCTAAATTTTTAATATCGTAAATACAAACCAATATTTATATGTTTATAGCTTATTAAACTATGATTATATTGAGCATAAATAATTATTCACGCATTATTTCCTAGAACATTAAATCATCAGTCTTTGTCTATCAATTTCTAATCGGAAGCTTAGTTTGTGGACCCTTTTATTTAATCAAAGAAAAATATATTTATAAACACTTTGATGAACAACAATAGCAGAGACAGATAGCAAATAGCAATAAAAAGTGACAAATTCATATAAAATTTAAATAAATATATATAAAATCACTAAGGCTGTCGTCAACGAATCGACTTGTAATTTTAAATACAATCTTGTTTAAAATTACTAATTAATTTTAAAATTACTAATTAATTTTAAAATACTAATTAATTTTAAAATAACTAATTAATTTTAAACACAATCTTAAAATGTACTTAGATGTTTTCAAAAGTTGCTCTAAAAAAATTAATATATGTACTTATTTAACATCATCAAAGCATTTTTAGTATGGAAATTTGTAACAATGAAAGTACGACTACACTCAGATCTGAGACAATTTATAATAGAAAAGTTCAGTTTTAACATTAAACCGACTGGGATTCGAACTTGGGACTACATACATGACACAGCAAACCTTGAATTCGGTGTGCGAGATATTCGGCTGTATAGGTCGTCATACTACTAGTTTTGATTATTTAACTCTGTTTGTAAACCTTGGATAAAACCAATTCTACTATTGGTAACTCATTTCAAGCATTTTTAATGATTTTAATTATCGGCAGTTTAGTAATTTTTTCACAAACATATTTTAATGCCGCTCGGTTAAGTATTTAATTATCTCATTAACAGTCGCCTCTATTACAAATAATGGAGATTTGATTAAAGTTTATTAGTTTAATATCAAATTTCGATCGATCGATAAAAACGTACAAGATTGATACAAAAGCTAATCCCAAAGAACACAACAAAAATTCATCTATTTCCTGGATTATTATAAAAAGAGGACTGTCACCGTAACCAGAAAATGGATGACAGTGATTCAATAGGATCCGCACGATTCGGACAATGGGCTTGATTGCGTTTTTGAACATTTGGATTGATTTCGCGATGGCCGCGATTCGGAATCGACGGGAACTGTCAAAATTGGCGAAGAGTGTGATGGATCGAATGATCGTAAATGTTCTGTTGAGTTCATCACTGAACCTTGATCGAGTCAAATGTAATTTCATTCATCTTAGATAATCCCCTGACCCAAATCTTAAATATGTTTTATCTGCAGATTTGAATTGCCTTACATATATATATAAATATTCATGTATTTGGGTCTTATTCTAATTTCTGTGCCGGTGTTAAAATCAGCCATTAAAAGACAGATATAATAAATAAATAACATGAAAATATATTAGACGCCAGTTCCGAGGCCAGTTTGATTTGATTTTTATTACTACGAAATTTTTATTACTGCAAAGTATCGGTAAGCTTACGTATGACGAGGATCGATTGTTAAACTTTTAGAAATTTTGAAATTACTCACAATTTATTGTAAATTATAATAATGAAGCTTCAGGTTAAAAAGATAAAAAAATAAATGATCGCCATCGCACTGTTTCACTCCAGCAGGGGTAAAATACTTAGATGAAAATATAGGAATGAAAAAAGAAATATAGAGTTTCGTTTGTACGTTCATTTGAACATATAAAAAACATGTAAAGACTAAAGCTTGAGTTAATATTTTTATTTCATTTAATCGATACGCTGTAAAAAAGAAGCGAGTAAGTTCATTTTTCACGAATATGAACTTATTCGGTACTGTAAAGGAAAAATATAGCAGACTGATGAAATTAGGTATTAACAAAAAAATATGTACCTACTACGCGATTTTATTATTACGTTACTTCTACAAAACGTCTGCCTCGAGTTGACCGATCACCGAGGTATGTTTTTTTCTTAATTCACAATAACGGGGCTCGATGCGTCAAGTTTTGACGTAAACACCAAAAGTCGAGAGCTTCAAGAGTTAGTTTCTTAGACATTTTGTTTGGTCGTTTTGTGTAGTCGCGCCTTTAACGTTTCGGGAGCGTTTGATGGATATGCTTTTTTAAGTTCTTCTCGTTTTAAGAAAAAGATAGTCTAAATAAAAAAATATTCATCTTTGATGATAACAATGCATTAGGTGAGATAAAACTATTTTATTTTTGAATTTGATTACTGTCTATAGATTGGGTCAGTCAATAATAATTGCTCGGCATTGAAAATCATTTCAATATTACATTATATTGGATAAAAAGCTAGGCGAAAAAGTTTTACCCATCATAAGAATATAAGGTATTCTTATGCATGCTTTCAAAAAATTAGATCACAATTAAAAATATGACTTGGATATTGTGACCGCAACCACACAAAGAGACATAGATTCATTCATAAATCTTTGACTGAGAATAATATACTCTGTGGTCTTTAGTAATGCCTTAATTTCTATATAAAATTCGTATAAATCTCTAGCACAAAAGTCTGAGTGATCCTCTTTAAATTTGATATTTTTTTTTAGAAAAGCGTGACAACTTTATAGCGATATATTTTTTATCTGTGGCCCAGTTTTTGCCGCCTTCTAGTGGTCAATTACAACGGCTGTCAATGAACTGTTGTGAATGAATGGAAACTAAGAATCTGTACGTGTAACAAGGGTGATACTATTTTTAAAATTCTGAAATGATTAATAAGAACTTGAAATAATATTAAAAAAACATATATTCCAAAATATATTAAGGTATTATATTATACTCGCTAAAAATCATCACCAACAAGATGTTAAAGTAAGAATATTATGCTTAGTTCTTAAAAACTCAGCTCAGTTTGTAAAAAAATATAATAGTTTGTATAAACAAAAAATACCTTTGGCTGAACCACAAGTTAACATTGTAGTAAAAAAAAAACTACAGAAGTTGTTTTTATTTGATATATATTTGTGAAAATCGATAAGCGTCACCAATTCCCAAATAATATTATAGACTAGAAACTAATAATATTATAGACTGTAGAAGAGAAGATTTCAAATTTTAAAAAGACCATCTCATCTTCTCTCTTTAGGGTCTAATAGACCCTAAAAAGATCCTAGGTTCCTAATAGTCAAATTTATGTTCAGATGGTAATTATACCAAAACCGTATTGATAAATGAACTTTCGATTGAATTGAATAGATATTATAATTATATTGAGAAACCTATTTAGTTATTCTGTTTATATTCGACTGGTTAGCTCTAGGGATTATTATTACCTAAAGCGCGTTGTAATTATTGAAAGCAATTGATTCAGCATTCAATTGCTTAAAGAATGTTTTTATTCTTTTATCACTTTATCCCAGCAAATTTGTGAACCTCCTGTATCAGTGATGGCGTGTTTGTGTGGTCTAACATCATTTCGCGAGTCTCATAACCACCAACAAGAACAAAAGGAGCCATAAATCTAATATACCCGCGGCGCCATTGTCCTTCTCCATTCAAGCACGGCCAGACTGTCCGTCGCGCCGTCTCGTAAACATGAGGTTGCACTTACCTAATATTTACAACAAATAACTTTATGAACTATTTACTTTACCTTTTAACAACAAAAAGAAGTTATTATAAACAACATATTTTATAACCATGATTGTGATGTTTTTTTTTAAGAAAATAATTGTTTTATTTTTATTTCAAAATAGACATCGCAATTGTGGCCAGGCTTTATTTTTATATTACTTAACTGCCCAACGTCAAAATAAGTTCGTTTCGTTAACCTTATTTTTATTTAATGAGTAATAGCTTACCCCGATTTTGCCCGCGCTAACTAGGTACCTATATTACCTGTATATTTCAAATCGGTCCAGCATTTGTGAGCCTATTCGATGCAAACAAACAAGTATAACAAACAGTTCAGGCAGTTAGTTGAGATACTTAAAAATTCAATAAATTCAGACACGTTCGGAAAGGACGAGAACTCGTGAAATTTCTCTAACCAGCAATTGCTTTCTTTTAAATTTCCCAACAGTAATTACTTTAGCTGTAGATGGACATATTCCCACTGATATTTAGGAAAGTATGTTACAAATGATGAAAACTGGAAACCTCCGCCCGAATTTAATAGCAGTTGCTTGAAAAAAGAAAACGCTTCAAGGTAAGTTTTATTTCTCACTTTTATAAAGTTTGAAGTTGGTTCTATTAAAAAAAAAAAATCTAAAATAGTCGGTTCTATTACAAAAAAAAATAACGCTAATATAACCTTATTTTGAGTACTAGACTATTAGATAGAATACTAATATTAAAAAGAGCTACAGTTTCTAACTTTCATGTTTTTTTTGTTCTTTGTATGGGTAGTATTCGGAAATACT